GTATTTTTGTGGTGAATGTGTCTTTGTAATGTGCTGTCTGAGGTTCGTCTGATTCCAATATCTAAGAAATGGAATTTACCTTCTACTTTGTGTTCCATATTAAAATCTATATCCGTGTGTGCTTTATTAAACAGATCGAGTAGGTTCTTATGGTTGTTGCAGACGAGAAATGTGTCATCAATATATCTACAGTAGAGTGTAGTCCCATCGATTACGTGCTTGAGCTTCTTCTGTTCCAGGTCGCCCATAAATATGTCGGCCAGAATTGGACCCAAAGGGCTACCCATGGCTACTCCAACAATTTGGTGGTACAACACATTGTTAAATTGAAATTGCATGTTTTCGGTACACAGAAACAGGAGTTGTTTGGATTTATGGATTGGTGAAGGCAGAAGTTCAGGATATTAACATATGATATCTGCCATTTCCTCCGAAGGTGTCTTTGTGAAGAGTGATGAGACATCAAACGAGACCATGAATTTATCAGAAGCATTTAAGCTATCAACCCTTTGGGCAAATTCAAGACTATCCTTCAGGCTGTAGGGTGTTAGTTTCTTGCGGATTGGTTCTAAGCACCTTGTCAGCCAGCGGACGAGATTAAGGAAGGGTGATTTGGTCATAGATAATAGTGGTCTTATCGGGGTGTCGGGTTTGTGTGTATTAAGTAGGTCTTATAAGATAGGTAGTTGTGATCCTTTTGGTTTGAGTTCATTGTACGTATGATTATCTATTAGATTATTTTCAGTTCTCTTAACTTTTTCGAAAGACGCTTCTCAGTCGCATCTGTTAAGTCTTTCTGGATATTATCGATGATAAATCTAGTGGGATCATTTAAAAAGGAAATTACTTTGCCTACGTATTCATCTGTGTTTAGGATGACTATACCGGAACCTTTATCTGGATGAATTAGCAAAAATGTTTCGTCTTTCATAAGATTTCTCAATGCTTTCTGATGATCTTTAGTCAACACCTTAGATTGCGGGACTGGTGTCATAACGTACTGTTTGTAATATCCACTAATTTTGATTTCAACTAACTTTTTTTTCATCACTCATGGGTTTCAGGTCTGACAACTGTTGATATAAATACTCAAACTGCGTTTCGGTGTCAATTGCTCCACACTATGTCACCTCAATGTAAAGTTTTATTACATATTTGGTTGTAAGCAGCTGATGAGGAACCACGAAGTACAATGAATTCATATTATTCTGCATCCATGTTCGTTCTGGCTTTATTTAAACCAGAGACACCAATCAAGCACAAGAAAAGAAAACCAATCACTGAAATTCAAGGACAGAGGAACAGATGGGTAGAACACTTCGAGGAACTCTTGAATAAACCAGCCCCATTGAATCTCCTCAACATCGAAGCAGCACACACAGACCTTCCTATATATATCACTCCATCAACGATCGAAAATATCAAAATGGTCATCTGACAAATTAGGAGTGGAAAAGCAGCAGAAGCTGACAATGTGCCAGCCGAAGCATTAAAGTCAGAGACAGAAGTAAGTACGGAGGTGCTCCACATGGCGTTAAGAAAAATACTGGAGAAAGAAAAGTTCTGAGAGACTAGAAAGAAGGATTTCTAATCAAGATACCAAAGAAAGGAGATTTGAGCAAATGTGAGAACTACAGAGGCATCACACTATTATCGGTACCAAGGAATTTTTTCGACAGAGTGATGTTAAACAGAATGAAAGACTCAATAGACGCGCAACTTCGAGATCAACACGACGGACTCCGTAAAGATCGATCGTGCACAGAATAAATCGCGGCACCACGGACATTGTTGTGCAATCGACTGAATGGAATTCGTCATTATACATCAACTTCATTGATTATGAGGAAGCATTTGACAGTAAGGATAGGGAAATATTATAAAAACTTCTTTGAGTACCTGGGAAAATCATCAACATCATCCGGGATTCGTGAGATAGACTACACTGAAAAGTCGTGCATGGAGGACAGCTGACAGATGCATTCCAAGTGTGGACCAGTATCAGACAGGGTTTCTTACTATCGTTTCTTACCATCTTTCTTCTGGTGGTTGACTGGATTATAAAAACCTCCACATCTGAAGGGAAGCATGAAATATAATGGACAATTTGCATACAACTAGAAGACTTGAACTTCTCAGATGAACCATCTCTTCTATCCCATAGACGACTACAAATGCAGGTGAAGACAGTCAGTGTAGCGGCAGTTTCTGCAGCAGTAGGATTCAAAATATATAAGAGAAAAACCAAGATCATCACATACAACACGGTGAACACCAACCCAATCACACCTTATGAAGAAACTCTGGAATAGGTGAAAACTTTCACGTATCTAGGTATTATCATCGATGAACGTGGAGGATCTGATGCAGAAATTAATGCGAGTATTGGCAAAGTAAGGACAGCATTCATGCAGTTGAAAAACTTGTTGAACTCAAAACAACTGTCAACCAATATCAAAGTCAGAATCTTCAGCAAGAACTTCAAGATAGTTCTATTGTTCGGAACTGAAACTTGGAGAACTACCACAGCCATAATCAAGACAGTAAAGACATTTCTAAACAATTATCTACGTAAGATACTCAATGTTAGTTGATCGGATACCATCAGTAATAGCCTACTGTGGGAGAGAACAAACCAGGTTCCTGCTGAGGAGGAAATCGCGGAAAGACGCTGGAATTAGATAGGACATACATTGTGGAAATCATCAGACTCCATCACGAGGCAAGTGCTAACTTTAAATCCTGAAAGGAAACGGAAAAGGTGTAGATTAACGAGCACATTGAGTCGCGGATTGAATGTAAGCATCAAATGAATTAATAGCACCTGGAAACAACTGGAAAGGATTGTTCATGACAAAGTTGGATGGAGAATGCTGGTCGGCGGCCCATGCTTCACCAGAGGTAACAGGTGTAAGTAGGCGTAGCATGTGATTAATAGTGTATGTTCATAGAAGCCTGGGAATAATGATGTAACGATATGGGTAAATTGTTACCGTCACCACTGACACTATTAAATGGGTGAATTAAATGGAGACAAATTAAGAGTCCTTCAAATCACTCAACCGAGTTATGAAAAATTCCACGATTCAATAACAACACTTAATTGTCATGTTATGCAGTATGTGTTGACTAAGATCACTTATTGTAGTCACATTAATTAGGTTATGATGAGTACAGGACCTAGGAGTTAAAAGTAACTTTTATTGCCCTCTTTGATACCTCATTGATTATAATGCTTTAACTGGAACTCTTAATTTCTATAATTCATTTTCAATCTTTTTTTCAAGTTTGAAATAACATACTTCCGTTGGTATAATTGAGTCCCATCAACAGACACTAACCAAGTCAATACCCTAAAAATCAAGAAAAAGAAAGTCCAACCGTCTAAAAGAAACACAGTTTTGTGAATAAATGACAAATATGGGATAATTTTTTCAAACGCATTAAACGAATGGACGGTTAATAAGCAGAACTGTTTTTTTATATTGTATTTATATTAAAGTTGTGAATTATTTCCACCGTAATAGCTCAATCAATAAGATAATAAGTACGAATTGGAAATGGTAATGAAAAAAATATTTGAAACATTTATGTTCTTTTTTTGCAAGTCATCACTTGTTTGGTGTACATTTTCACAAAGAAACAGTCCTACTCAATTACACAAGTAAGAACAATTGATTTTCATTCAAATAATGAACTTCTATTCATGAAAAGTAGTGGATCAATAAGGTCTAGAAATGATCAATATTCTTGCATTGTCTACAGTTTTAACATCTTAAACGATAAAATGGATAAGTATTGATTTTTACTGGGAGCGTATATGCAAATGATTTTTGACCACAAGTTCAGTCATTTTTCCCTCTGAGTCATTAATTAAAATTCCGTTTTTTAAAAAACAGCAACTTAATTCATTCACAAATTAAGGATACATTAAATAATATAATCAAATGTGACCCTTTAACCACGTAGATTCTAGAAAATCCTCCATTAATAGATGCAATTCTCTACACTGAACATGATAACCTAAATCCATATTTGAGATAAACTACATCCCAGAAGCACATGATGCCTGCATCTAGTTTGTGTGTAGTGGAAGTCACAAATACTGTACTAGACATTCATCGAGTTTTCTTACAAGCAAGAAACCTACCAATAGAAACTTCGTAACAGGCGAAACTCAGGAAGTCAAATAATTTGAATGAAATTATGGAAACTAATTGTATAAATTAAGAAGAAGAATATATTTGTAAAATCTCAGCGAATGAATTTTAAGTAAGTCCAACGTTTCGCCTGGCAATCTGGTCCAAGCTTTTTCAAGGAAAATATGATATATTTTACAAATATATTCTTCTTTTTAATGTCTCAAATGAACTCGGCGCCCAAATATTGTGAAACTATTCGTTTAAATTTAGACGAAAGTTCTTATTTAATTGTATAAATGTCAAATAATCATTATTACTATAGTAGAAGGTTGTTAAATTACGTAGTATAAATCAGTTAGACAACTGGTGGAATTCAAGGAGAATTGGATAGCTGTTAATGAGACATCCTGGTTACTAATCCCTGTTTAACTTAAATCAATCAGTGACGTGAACTACCAAATAATCATTTTTTGTTGAACAATCATACGGGCTGAAGTAAGTTTAGCAACTTTGTTCAAATGTACAGCAAACATTAAAGAAAAATACTGCATATAGCGGTCGTACATAAGCGTAGGCAAATAACTATAGGCAGCAACGGTATGGATACCACTTAACTCTGAGTCATTTAAGAGTTACGTGTCGTTTCTGAAACACTAATCTGTCAAGTCAATTAAACCAACCCTGTTTATCTATTCAAGGTCATCATGTGAGCTTATCACGATTCGTTCGTTAGATTGTATGCATCAATTTGTGACCAATAAAAGCAATCAACTGTAACCTTGAGTTGTGATTCGTTCATCATAAGGAATGGAACTAGGGCTCATTGTCTTGCTGTATTGATTGGACATATCGACATCGATGCCGGATGCTTCTGCTGTAAGGATTTTTGATTCCTAACTATGATTTCCAAAGATTTCCAAACCACTGTTGCTTAAAGGAGGCACAGTCGTGAACCATGACGTATCTTTCAAATCAGATGTTTTAATTGATAATGGTATTATTCAGTAAGTGAAGTACGCTTAGTTTTCACTCATAGGGCTGTTGGTGAAAACCTTAGCTACCCCAACGGCACAGAAATTATCGACGTAAGTAATAAATTATTATTACCTGGTATGTATTTAAATAAATTCACTTACGATTTCGAACAGGCGGAATTGACTTGGACTGTCACATTGGTGTCGCAACCTCAAATGACCCTATAGCTGATACTTACCTCTCTTCAGGAAAAGCAGCTCTTTTTGGTGGTACAACTACAATTGGTATGTAAACATTTTCACTCCCATAACTTTTAAACACAAATTAGTTTTATAATATAAAAGTCGAATTATTCATTGCGATTTAAGTTGTTTGGTATTGTTTCACAATCTACGAGAAAATATGCTATCCCTCAGACAGCCACGTAATAGGCTAGTAAGAGAATATACAATATTCGTATTCTCAAACTTGTTGGTTCTATTGAGTTCAGTGGTGCGTTACCCATAGAGTTTTTCTAGGAATGTCAAAGCTACTTACTATCGATTTTAATCAAAAGTAAACAGTGAAAGCCTCAATTAAGCGCTATAAATCTAATAAACGAACTGTGAAAATAGCTAAGTTTGTCAACAGTACTTCTTTGTATCTTTGGTTATTAGCCCAACTTTTAAAAGGCGTTTGCAGATTTTTTCACACTGTCCAACCGCCTAGAATTTGTTTGAACTAAAACTTAACGAACGAAGCTTGATTCGTTGGTTTGATGTACCTGAGTTGGTTCATATCTGGTGTAGTGGTTACTACCAGACATCTAACGATACTTAGCTCTTTTGAACTCCTCTGGTCTACTTGACTTGAGACGTTTCGTTATCTTTAATCCTTATCTAAAGAAGTAGACGGTTTGTGTTGTCGTACAATGCAACTGTAAGATACGTAGTTCAAAATATTATATATAAAACCCCGTTTTCATACTGTTTTGATTTGGTGCACCCACGAAGTACATCTGTGGTGAAAGGTAATGTTAGATAAAGAGAACGAGTCAGTTAATATGGTTGTAAATCAGAATTCCGTGAAACAATTTAAATGCCGATCATATTTCAGAAAGAGGTGAAATATCAGGGGTCTTGAAGGTTACATAAAGTGCGCGATCTATTGAAGATTAACAACTAAGATGCTCAAGTAAATTGGGTTTTAAAGGCAGCATGGTTACACTATTAATCTGTGTCTATATTTTGCCAGTTCAGCTTCTTATATTGACTGAACAAGTGATTTTACTTATTCTCTTTTAATCAAAGCAGTGGTAATCCATCCTTATTGCATTTAGTGATTGTTTTCAGAGTTTGTGAGTACCAGGCTTTCCGACTTAATGTATCTTAACAGTTTGACCACTTTAAACTCATTAACATAGAGAGCGAAAAAACCGTTCAAATCACCGTAGTCGGTGAGTATCCACAAACTCGTCAACCCACTTGCCATTTTTGCTCAGTACTTTACCCAACTTCAGCATTACCCACTTGGTGTTCCCATTATAACCGATCAATAATTTGAAGATATTTATAGTCAGTTATTGTAACCTATTAATTTCCTACACCTTAAAAGTATATTTTTCATAGCCGTAAAGTAATTTAGAGCAAACAACCCGCTGTTAAGGTGAAGCTCACCACCAGCATTTAGAGTTGCCATTATCTGAAACTTGTGTCCTGAGTTAAAAAACATTAAGGATTAGTTTCAAGCTGTCATAGAGATCATTAACATGAATGTATTGGTAAGACTACTACTACATATACTCTCCTAAATGTCACCCTTTTATTACTCGTGAAGAAACAGTCACTCATCACATCTTTTTTTGATAAATAAAGGTTACTTATTTTGCTTCGTTTTGAGTTTTCGTATATGTATCCAATTTATTTTATCCTTAGTAAACACGGTTAATGCTTATCCTGGGGAATCACTAATAGACGCATATGAACAGTTTGTATCATCAGCCCATGAAAGCCTAGCATGCGATTATGGTATATGCTTGCGGTTGGCTGGCTTCTCATCAGAAATGAACAACGAGCTGAATACTTTAGTTCAAGATAAAGGAGTGGTGCTATTTTCCGTTCGTGTGGGTTCAAAATCTTCATCTGTGGTAGATAATGAACAGTGTATTATCAATGAAGAAGAATTTTGTTATTTCTTAAAGGCTTGTCGACAACTAGGAGCGTTGCCAATGCTTGAAGCAGCTACTTCTGTGTCGTTAGCTGAGAAATTATCCTCAGACGTGCAAATCAATTGTCCCGATATTGGTCCAGAAGTCAATTTATTGGTTTCACCGGAAGAAGCTGAGGCAAATAGTATATTGCAAGGATCTTTGTTTTCACAATATGCAGGATTTTGTTGTCCGCTTTTAATTTCTAGAATTCATAGTAAAGCAGCACTAAATTGCTTCATTGAACAGCGCCGTATGTGTAGAGGTATATTATTTGGACAAACTAGTATTCCCGCAATAGCTATTCCTCTTTCTTTAATAAACTGTGATGATCATCCTGACGACATGTTGACCCATTCAAAGAATTGGGCTGTTGCTGCTAGTTACATGTGCGACCCTCCATTACGACCAGATACTTATCTTAGCCGAAGGTTGCTGACTCACCTCGTCTCTGAAGACTTGACTTGCGTTGGTTCAGGTCATCGGGCAATAACCACTGCAGTTCGTGCAGCTTTTGGATCAAAAAGTGCTGTACATATACCTCGTGGTATAGCATCTTTGGGCTATAGAATGGTTGCCTTATGGCATTTTGGTGTTGAAAGTGGATTTTTGGATCCTTGTACGTTCGTCAAAGTAACTAGCTCTAATCCTGCAAGATTAATTAATGTTTATCCTCAGAAAGGCAGAATAGAAGTAGGTTCCGACGCCGATATATTAGTTTGGTCAAACTCCTATAAGCAAGACGTTTTGAAAAACATTTTACCCGATGGTGTGCCTAACCTATTTTCTAACACTGCTTATCATTCGGGACCTGAAGTGGTTATATTACGTGGTCATATTGCTGTTCACAATACCGAGTTTTCAAATAACACTTCCACTCATGGGAAACTGCTTGTTTGCCGACCATTTTCTCATTATGTGTATGCTCGTGTCGATTCAGTGGAAAGAAGTGTCAATTCCGAATTTAAAATGCTCCAACGCGAACCATACGTAGGAAATGCAGTTTCCATTACTACTGAAACTTCAAATGATAACAAGGAAGGGTACTACTTTCGGAAAGAATATTATGATAATATACCCAGAGGTTAGTTAGTTTTTTACGCTATGCATAGTTTGATTTCGCACATACAAAAATCCATCAAGAAACTGAGTATCAACACCGGGATGCTAGTACATTTAGTTGATGAGTCCCAAGCAGGACGGAATGCGCATCATGAATTCTACTACTAACCATATTCCGTCTATCCCACAAAAACAACAGTGTGTTCACTGACTCTTATGCAGTCATAATCCGAAAATCTACTCTATTGTATTCCAACCCCTAAACCTTTTCAACACTTCAACTTGGGGATCATTAGAGTCAATATCAGTAAACTAACTAAACTCTAAGTTTAATAGGTCAGTAGTTAAACAAACGCGTATCACTTGCTATCGCTAGTTTTCCTCCAACTATCTTCGTGACATTTTCGTTAAACTACATAACTATAGTGACCATCACTTTCACATGGAACTATATGTAGCTAAATTGCAATGAAAATAACCGACCTGTATAGTTAATTACTCGGATAACAAATTTGGTGTGTCTTTTGTGTAAGCATACTACATTTGTAATGCAGCGGCTCTATCAAATAATAATATCCCAAAGAGAGAGATGAGCAAACACAATCGTCAATGTCTCATGATAAGAATACCGTCGTCATGTAAGCACTGAAAACATGAAGCCTACGTTGAACGACTTTTTATTTACTCTATACTAACAAATTATTTGTAGCTCACATCGCTTGTTTTTTAAATATTTTTTAGTGGCCTTACCACCTGGTCAGAGGAAAATACACACGTCAGTTAAAACGGCTCAACCTCCCGGTGGTTCATCGAATGCGTTTTGGTCAAACGAATAGGAAAATCCATTGTCTGTGGATGTTAACTTCTACATTTTCGATTTCTAGCTTTATATTTCACTTTGAGTAATTTCCATGGTGCATTTCAACTAAACCAAATGAATTTCCTTAACTATTTACGTGTCTTAATATCATTTCTTTGATTAAAACAGCCATTAATGTTGTGCAAAATATTTAAGTAACAATCTAATAAATTCAATTGCGAGTTATCCTTTTATACATTCCGATCGGTTGATTGTCTGATGGTTCTAAAAATATAATGAAGAAAGCTTTGTTTTGTAATCTTCCAACCATAACGTATTAACTATAGAAGCCTCCAAAGTTACACACTAATTTAGACCAATGCTCTAGAGATTGGTGAAAATGCACGATCTTTTTCAAATAGTGTTTTTGTAACGTCCGACCGCTTTTTTATGGATTACAAGCGTCACCTATCACTGTATTTTCATGTCAATCACCAATTGATGGTACTCTTTGTCTGATCTAACCTGAGATTCATCCAATCTTGTTTTTATTAACACCAAGATAGTACTAAGTCCTCCAACCTGTTAAGCATTACAATCTTGTTAATTGGTTTAGCCTTACTGGAACCTAACGCCCAACTTCACGATCTCTCACTCCGTGGTACGGATGCACATCTATTTTACGAACACATTCAACCTTGATGTGTGTGAGGAAACCAGTAAGAATACATTTTCATGCATTATGTAACACCATGGTACAAGTATATTTGCCAGATTAAAATTAAATCAACATGTAAGGATACGGATTATGTTTACTGGTAAATATGACAGTGCGTTGTTCTTTCTTAAATTCGTTTCACTTCGTCGTTTAGTTCCAGCTGGTGGTTAAGGGATATCCGATTGTGTTGTGAATGGAGATTTTGGTTGGTGAGACAAAATGCTAACTGTTAAGATAAATGAGAGGAGCATTGATGGATAGGTGATATGGTTTGATCAGGTGTCTACGAGAATGACTGGTTTAGGTCAAAGAATGATAGGTTTTCTTTGTGATAACGTGCGTTATATACAAAATAATGATACATGATTAGCAAAACTTCATGTGTGGTTGGAGGCAATTAGTTTGTAGGTCATTCATTCTGTAATCAATTAATTCCTGGTAGTCAAGCCCAATCCTTATATATTGTATCAGGTCGTTGAAGGGGGTTGACTTCTCTGTCGACAGTAACCCCATTTGTATGCTTTCTTCTTGAAATGTAAGTTAAGAAGCAATCGCTATACGAAATTACAGCAGGTCATGCATTTGCTTAGTTGTCGTGTAGCTTCTATGCACAATTAACTCTTGCTTGCGTTCATATACATGGTCCAATGTTATCTCGTCCTTGTGAGGTTATGTAACAAGTCTGATTCCAATTTAAATATCTTACAATATGTTGGTTGTCAGTAACAATAAGTAGCGTGAGGGGATCGGGTAGTAACATCTAACAAGGCTTGTCCCACTGTAATAATCCCGAAAATTAAATAACTATATGTTAATTTTATACCAAAGTATAATGACTAAGTGAATATGTATATAAGTTATCTCTCTTCATTAAATAAGGATACTACTACTTAGTCTTTTACTCAATTATTTTGACTTGGAGACTGTCAGTAAATATACTAAGTTAGTTTTTTTTCACTCTTATGAATGGTTACTGCTCAGCAACGTAGTTCGTCTAGTATCACTAGTCGATTGTCTTTTTAACAATTAAATTGTATTCGTAATATATTACGATTAGGTAGTATCGTGTTTATGTAATTAACATCACTAACCGATTGTGGATACATTGACTGAGAGTTAAAATAGTAATATTATTGAATATATATTCAAATAATTAGACCAATTGATACACCCATTAACAATAAACGGAATCAAGATGGAATGAATGGACACCAGACTGAACTGACGTAATAATAGTACTGGATCAACGCCAGTTAGACATTTTCCTACTTGTATCGGAACTACAATAACCCTACCATTAGAATATCCAGGAACTGTATTACTAATGGGTACAGTGGTGATAGGATTACCACAAATCGTTATAATCCGGGACTGTAGTGTGACGACTTAAACCCACACTAGCATTAGACAAGTCTAATATGAATTAGAATGGAATGCAATGAAGTGACATCTATTCAGTGTGCAATAAAAAGCGTATCATATACTATAGTATATATATATAGTAGGTCATGGGAATGATAGAATAAGTTGAGCATGTAGGCAGACGAACAAACATTGAAAATAGAAAGATTTACGAGTAAAGGTTTAGGACTAATCATAAAACCGAGCAAACCACAACAGACTGAATCGAATTAATACATTTGATGATCATATGCTAGGTAAGATCTTGTTATCCAAAATGAGTATACAGTTGTGTGAATTCGACATGTCTATGTCAATTAATATAGATAACTAACCAGTTGCGAATCCTACAGTTGCTTAACATTTAAGGATGATTGTTCTGCTACAATGACTTGTAGCGGTAAATAAATCCCCAAAATAAATAGCACTAAGTTTTCGACATTGGATGCTGACCATATGTTTTAGTGGACTCACCTAGCTGAAGGCGCTCGGTCAGTCATCCGCACCAGATCACGTGTGGTAACGCCGTGCTCAACATCAACCGCAATCGCTAGCCAGATTAGATCAGAGAATTCCGATATATTGGTCATCGCCAAATATACTCTTCCGATCTCCTCGACTCTGTCTTTTGATTTCTCTGGGCGGGAACGAAATATATTAGAAGGTGTTACTGGTAGAAGCGTTGTCAAACACTGAATACCTGTGACATCATCATTGGTGAAACCGACGTGATCTGGTACACCTAATTGCAACTGTGAGTCTGTTCCTTTTTGGGATTTTTATATATCATTGCCTTATTTTTTTTAACTTTTTTAAACATTGTGATTTTTTTTTCGTGTTTTTTCCTGGATATATATATTTTCCCCTTGTTCATTATCGTACTTCATACTTCATCATGACTGAACAGACACCTAAAGTACTCAAGCTTAAGACTTTGTCCCCGCCTTCGTTTCAACTCATGCCTTTCTGGCCCGACAACATCGAAGCCTGGTTTTGCTACGCAGAAGCCGACTTCTCCGAGCACGGCGTGATCGACACACGTGCACAATTCCTCGCAGTAGTCAAGGCACTACCGCGCGAATTCAACAGGTACGTAACACCTAGTATGTTTACTAGTGATGTTTCCGATCCTTACGAAATCTTAAAACGCTCGATTCTTAAACGAGGAGACCTAACCGATCGACAAAGGTTAGATCAACTCTTCAACAATATCGACCTGCAACACGGTTCTGCGACAGACATGTTGCAACGGATGAGAGAGGTTATAGGCCCAAGAACTTTCGACGAAGGCCTATTCAAACAACTCTTCTTGTCAAAACTTCCCCAACAGGTGCAAGCAGTTCTGGTCTCGTTCCAGAACAACGCCTTAGACGAGCTAGCTGCATCTGCCGACCGCATATTAGAAATTACGAAATCTACTACCGAGGTATTTTCAGTCAAAGAAAAACCTCAAACGACTCAGAATGATATAAACGACTTATGTCACACACTCACGCGTTATCTTAGTCTTCGTAACGACCGTAAGAGATCGCGCACACCACGTAGAAGCATTTCTCGTAAGCGATCTGTCTCTAGACCACGAGAGACAGATAACCCCGACTGGTGCTGGTATCATAACCAGTATGGAAAGCTTTCCAGAAATTGCAGAAAACCCTGCAATTTTCCCAACACGAAACCGACTGATTCGAAAAGCAATTCGGGAAACTTCCAAGCCGGCACGCGTTAACGGCAACCGTAGCCGGCGAACAAAGCCGTCTGTTATTCGTCACAGATGTGACAACGAGAGTTCGCTACCTCGTCGACACTGGCGCAGAAGTTAGCGTTCTCCCAGCGAATCCTAACGACCGACTTCACGAATCGACCCTAAACTTACAGGCGGCAAACGGAAAACCGATCGCTACGTATGGCAAAAGGTACGTTTACCTTAACGTGGGTTTACGCAAACCCATCCACTGGATTTTCGTTGTTGCAGATGTTTCTATGCCAATCATTGGTATGGACCTTCTACAACACCACAATCTGATCATCGACACGCGCAAACGGAGGCTAGTAGACGGAAACACTAATTTGTCCGTTTGCGTAACTTCTTTTACTGGTTGTAGAGTATCCCCAGTCACAGTTAAACATATGATAGACCCACTCTATCAACCACTACTCGATAAGTACCCTGAGATACAACAAACTCAAACGAAACTACCGTGTGTAACCAGCAATGTTACACATCACATCACGACTACAGGACCACCTGTATTTTCTAAAGCACGCCGACTAGCTCCTGAAAAGCTAAGGTTAGCGAAAAACGAATTCGATCACATGATGGACTTAGGAATCATACGACCGTCAAGTAGCCCATATGCATCTCCGTTGCACATGGTCCCTAAAAAGGACAGCAACGATTGGCGTCCAACTGGTGACTATCGGCGATTGAACGCGAAAACCATTCCCGATCGTTACCCGTTGCCTCACATTCACGATTTGACAGCTACCTTGAAAGGTACAACTGTCTTTTCGAAAATCGACTTGGTTAAAGCGTATAACCAAATCCCTATGGCTACTGACGACATACCGAAAACAGCTATCATAACTCCTTTCGGACTCTATGAATTTTTGCGAATGCCTTTCGGTCTAAGGAATGCTGCTCAAACATTCCAAAGATTCATAGACGACGTTTTTCGAGGTCTCAACTTCGTACACGCGTATGTTGATGACTGTCTAATCGCAAGTCCGGACAGAGAAACACATCTCAAGCATCTGGATCTTGTTTTCGAACGACTTCAAAAACATGGCATAACTGTAAACGTTCAGAAATGCCAATTCGGAACCGACTCGTTAGACTTCCTAGGACACACTATCGATGCTCAAGGCATTCGACCTCTTAGGACCAAAGTGGCGGCCATTCTGGATTACCCAGAACCGAC